TCAGCAGACTTCTCCTCAGGTCTGCACCTTGCTCCAGAAATCTGAGCCCCAAAACAAGCATGACAAGCATACGGGAAAAATTGTTAAAGGCCCTGGAATCTTAAATAACAAGATCTGTCAGCTCCATTTTGATGGATATGTTTCTTTTTATTGCCTTAGAACAGTTGTTCCCAACCTGTGGGTCATGACCCCTTTGGCGGTCGAACCAACCCTTTTACAAGGGTTGCCTAAGACCATTTGCATATCAGATGTTTACATTACAATTTGGAGCAGTAACAAAATGATAGTTATGAAGTAGTAATAAAAATAATTTCATGGTTTGTGTGTGGGGGGTCACTGCAACGTGAGGAACTGTACTAAGGGGTTGCAGCATTAGGAAGGTTGAGAATCACTGGTTTAGAATTCCAACTTAAATAGAATATACGTGGAAGTCAAGGGATTTTTTTTCCTCAGCACAGTATTTTCCTTTTGCTTATGTCACAGCCTGGTGGTTTGTGAGGATCTCTGTTCCATGCAGTCATTCAGGGACCCAAGGCTCTTTCCACATTGCTATGAATCCTCTTTTAGAGTGGGGTTATGGCTATTCAGATCAGTGGAGAATGGCAACATGTGGTCATACGGCCAACCGTGAAAACTATGGTCTTCCTTTTACCAAAGAAACATCCCTCCAGTTTCTATTCAAGGTCAACCTCTTGGCCAAATAGCTGTGAACACAGGCAATAGTGGTTCAACAGCATCTTCCCTGAGACCTTTCTAGAAACGCTCCTTTTCAGGCATATCTGATGACGTCTACTGATGGATGGAACAGAAAGATCAATGAAGTGTTAACTTCCAAGAAGAAATATGGAGCCATCAGATGTAAAGGAAGAAAACATCCCAGTGTGGAAGGAGAACCTTTGGTTTCTCCCTCTAGGTGAAACACAGGGTGTTGTGGTCAAACACTCAGGGACTAGTAACACTCATCATAATAGAGTCTGTGGCCAACCTTGAGTGCTAGGTTGATTCATTGAAGAGTTGTGGGAAGAAGAAAGATGTAATTGGATTTTTTTTCCTCTAAAGTGATCTCTCTTCTCTGGTTACAGAATGGAGGCTTGACTGCCAGGGATAAGAAGGAAGGGACTCAGTTAAGAGGCATTTGCAAAGGACTCCACATGAAGGTTTAGTAAATGCAGTAAATGTGGTACCAAGATGTCTTGGGAGGAACTTCAAGGAATAATGCCAACTTGAAGCCTGAGTGGATATTCCAGGAAGGAAGAAGACAAGATTTGTGAAGACTCCAAAAATTGTGGCTTGAGTGTCTGGTGATGGAGTCACTTACTGGAAAGAGAGAGCAAGAGGAAGAGAAGAATGGAGAGAAAGATAAGGAGCCCATGACCTAAGGTCAATATGGAGCCAATCAGAACCAGAGTTATTGAAACAACAGCAAGTGAGGATCATTTTATCCAAGCCGAGAAGACAAAAAAAATGCTCTTTTTCAGAAACCAGGAAAGACTGTCAGAAGCTAGCAGACTGGTCAACTCACTGTAGAAGGCAGAAGCAGCAAGGCCCAGCATGATGGTTCCAGCCCTGGCTTTGCATAAGAGTCACTTGAAGTTGGGAGGTGGGGCACATACCTTTAATCCCAGTACTCAGTTCTCTGAGTTTGAGGCCAGCCTGGTCTACAGAAGGAGTTCCAAGACAGCCAGGGCTACAAGACCCTGTCTTGAAAACCAGAACAACAGCAAAAGGGTCACTTGAGCATCCGCTGTCTAGTCCTTTCTCCCTTGATTTCTACTGTGCCTGGTCTGAGCCATCATGGTGTTTCTAACGTGCAGCCCATTTTGAGAACCACGTTTGTTGACAGTTTCATCTGTCTTGATATATATCTAAACCCCGGGGATCCTATCAGGATACCAATTCTGATTCCATAGCTTGGGGAGGGGATGAGAAGTGACAAGAATCTGAATTGATAATAAGCACATTGGAGTTGACTGCTAATGCTGTTGGTTCAAGGACTACGCATGGAAGAGCAATGGTGTGGCAAAACGCTCCTCAACCCCGGCTGCAAATTAGATTCCCCAGGCCCTTGTAAGACCAAAGAAACCTAAGAGTCTACAGTAGGACTCGAGTCACAAGAAGTAATAAAGACATCCAGGGGATTGCGAGAGTAATTATGTTTGGATCAAACTTCTAAAAGACGGCAGTGTTCAGTGGTCTAGTTGGACAGAGTCTGGACTCCATATAAGGGAGGACTGGTAACTTCTGGCTTATTCTACCTGTTTAGCAAGCACTTCCCAGGGTTCAGAGGGTGGATTCCAATCATCTACTAAATGCGTTTATGAAGGGGCCACCATATATCAAAGCTGGTTGCTGGGATGAATAAAAAAATGTGGTTTACAATGGCAGTAAGCAGATCTTAAGCGAATACTTGAAATGTATTAGAGCTGGAGCAGAAGCCAGGAAGTATGGAAGCCAGAAGGTTGCAAGGTGAGTGTCCTGGTGGAGTTGCGTAGAGAAACTGGTGCTTGACCCAAGACCTGAAAGATGGACCCTGGATCCCCCAGAGAATAAGATGTTGGGGAAAGCAACTGAGACCCAGTGTATCTGAGACTATAGACTAATGTCTGATAGAGTCTTAAGTATCATGGGCACAGGCTCGGATGAAATATGTTTTGAGAAGCAGTAAGTGTAATTGTTACTTGGTCATCTAACTTAACTTGGTCTGCAAAGTTATTGAGGCAAATAACGTCTGCGCTTCTCAGTGTCCTTACCAAAACATCAATATAATAGCGTTTCAACATTGTAGGCTTATGGATAAGATTAACTGAGTTCATACACTCAAAGCACTTAAGAGTGGGCATAGGTTGGAGGTCCTCAGTAAATGTTCCCAGGCAGTGTTGCCGGTGCCTGGGCAAGAAGGTGGGTGCTGGGATCCCCATGGGGCAGTGTGACCAGTAGGAAACTGGATGAATGGAGAAGTGAGGGTTCAGACATGTGTGGTCAGCATCAGCTTGAACATCCTCTCTCAGTCAGGTGTCCAATGACAAGGGGAGAAAACCAACAGTCTATACACCACTAGCAATTGGGGGGCCCCATATCCTCAGTGTTCCTCCCATTTCTATACACATTTTCCCTTTAGGTCACAACGAGATTCAAGCAAAGAACTTCTTGAGTTGCTGATAAACACCAACAATTTTCTATAAAGCTGTATTTTTCCCTTTCAAGATCCTATGCTATCTACATCAAATACCAGACCACCCAGCAGCCCCCTGGCAATGACATGGAACACAGTGATAGATATCCAGTGTTCACTCAGACAGGGCAGGGAGATCTTCTACCCACCCTCAGTGGAACATGTCACTCCTCAGTTGTTAGACCCCTGCATCTCCCCTCCAGCTTCTTTAACAAAGTTCGTCCCCACACATCATCGTCTAAACCCCAATTCCTAAACTGTGGATCACAAGTTTACATGGGATCACATCACTGAATGTAGGAGGTCACAAAGCATTAGCACTAGTAAAAGATTCCAAAACATGAAGCAATCAAAGCTTAGTCCAAAATTAAATACACGCATTCAATGTGTTTCTGGCAGCATTTGCCCATGTTGCCTCCTGAAACTTGATGCAACTTTGGTTCTGAAGCCATCACATGCACCTTTCTACTGCACAGACCAGTGAAGGCTGCCCGAGACATCTCAGCTTAGGTTCACGACTTGTGTTTTACAAATTGAAGTGTTTTTACTCTACCTACAAAGTTTTCTTCTCTTAAACATAAATATTTAGTCACAGAAAAGCGAAAGACTTCACTTTTCTCTACCATCCTTCTATAGCATTGTAAGTATTCTGTTCATTTATTTTTGGATTGGATAGATAGAATGTCTGAGTCTTTTTTTAAAGTATTATTTGAGGGGATATAGAGGTGGCCCAGCAGTTAAGAGTGTTTGCTGCTCTTCCAGAGGATCCAGGTTCAAATCCCAGCACCCCCATCAGGTGGCTCAACTGCCTGTAACTCCAGCTCCAGGGGATCTGATCCCCTCTTCTAGCTCCAAGGGCACCTGCGCTTATACACACACAATAATTAAAAATCTTTAAAAGATAAGTCTTTCCGAAAATTTCTGTTTGAGCTGGTAATTTCAGTTTTGATTTTAAACTTGATATGTGAAATTTCAGCTTGGTATTGGGAATAGTTTTTAACCATTTCTAAAATGTCCCTAAACATACTTATGCCATACATAATCATATGAAGTGACATTCTCAACAGTAACAATTATAAAATACAAGATGTCTTGCGACTCTGAAAAACATAGAAAATGCAGTATCAACTGTTGAGCCAAGATTGAATTCTTTATGTAAAAATAAATGAACAGATTGATCTCACTAATGTGCCAACTTGCTTTGGTCCACTTGTCAAATCATGTGTATGTCAAAGAATTATTTTAAGGTAGATTTCTTTTAAATTCACTGTCCGTAGATGTTTGGGGGGGATCCCCAAAAAACTCACTTTGGAAAGAAGAGGTCACAAGTGGGAAAGTTTAAGAAGTGCACTTGAATTCGATATGTTTCTGTAAGCCGGTCGTCTCAGTGCAGGATTGAAGAGCAGGCTTCAGCTCCCCAATTAAAGATCCAGAGAGATGAAAGCTTACAGTGTTACCCTGAATTTAGAGAGGTGGAGGCTTACAGTGTTACCCCGAATTTA